TGTCATTTACATTAAACCTACGATTCATGTATTTAAATTTGAATACTTAATTTCGTACATCGATAGATCTAAAAAAATGCCTTGCGTATTACTCATTCATTAATAAATAACCTGAATTATTACAATTAAAAAAATACGTTTGAAAATATTTTTTACATAATTCTTACCGAACAGTTTTTGATTAAAAGGAAAATAAATAATAATCAATATGTGAGAAAAGTAAACTGTCTACCGGAGTAAAATAATATAATATGCATAACTTATAAAAATGATTTGTTCTCACAACACATATTATATTTTATTATAATACATAAAGTGAACAGACTGCCGCCGATAAGAATGTTTTATTAATAACAATTTTTTATTATTTGTTCTAATTTATATCTTATAAAATTTTTAAAAAGTTTTATATATTAAAAACCCATATATGTAATATACATTTTTATAATTTATAGTAATTGTGCAGTATCAATAATTACTGATAGTTAATATTTTTATTTTTTTTTTTTTTTGTAGTTTACTTTATCACAATAAATTTATTACCTATCCAATTTTAATTTTCAAAAATTATTGTTGTTTATTGGAATATACAATTTTTTATTTTGTAAAAGTAGATATTTTTCGTTAATAAAATATTTTTGAAACATTTTCTAATATTAACTGTAATTATATTGTATAATATATATATATTATATATAATAAATATAATATTAAAATGTTTGTGTTAATTTATGTCTGTATTAAAATATTTTATATTATATAATTAATAATCGCATTTTTTAACCGCAATGACTGTGTTACAAGTTAGAATTACCATCAGGTACTTAAAATTAATTTTACGGTGTTTGTTACAATGTCGTGCTTTTTCCGACTAATATTGTTCCAAATCTATCTTAAAATATCTTTATATTTATAATATTTTCATTTTGTCATCATGCAAAAATTGTTGTGTCAATGGGATATCAGACTTTGCGGGAAGACATAAAAACACTTAAGGAAAATATTACATGTAATTGGTGTACGAAAACATAACGTATAGGATGGCATAAAATTGGACAAAAGTTAGAAGATTTATCATTAATAACAAATAATTAATAGTTTATTATACTTGCATCAGGTTTCATTGATTTGAAAATCATTTATATAACAAAAAAAAAAAAAAAAATTAAAAATATAAATTGAGTATTGTGTGGAATGATAGTTTAAGATAATTTAAGAATAATTACCGGTCGTTGGTATTTTTTACTTTTATGAATTTATATTATTAATACCTGTCTATAAAATTTTTGTTCGTATTTAAGTTGTGTATCCTTTCATAACTATGGTTAGTTATTTAGGTGCCAATTTTGTGGTTTAAGAAAAAATAATAACTGCATACAAAACAAAGTAGGTTAAGGCACCTATACTTAAAACGTATGTACAATACACATTTATATATATATTACACATAACTTTATCACCTGTTATTATGCGCTTGAATACTGTTTGTTACCATACATTTTTGTCGTCAAAACAAAAAATACAAAATATAAACGCACAAAGTCGGCTGACCGAATATTACGAATGTAATCTATAGTTGAATATATTTATTATTTTTAAATTACATGTAAATTATATTTAATAAAATTAACCTAAAGTATAATATATAGGTAATGTAAAATTGATAGTTGATTGAAGCTAGCCGACAGCCGTGAATATTGATACGAATAATTTTAACAGTAATAAAATAGGTGTATGTTTATAATTAGAAAACATAATGTTGGTAATTTTTCAGCAACACATTTGGCGATCTGGTTTGAAATGATGAGAAAAATTTGCAAATCCTTCGGGCCTGGAACAAAACAACCAAAAGAACCTTATTATAATTCTGTATGAATAACATCATTCAGAAATAAATGGATGTCTTCTGAACCATTTGTTTCGCCAATTGTCACGGGAATAAAAATAACAAATGTTACGGGCTAACCCACGACCGTATTGATCTATTGTCAGTTTGCATTTTCATCCGCGTAAAAATGCAACACCCCCATCATAAACGACTATTGTGATGGTGCCAACTATTAATGTACTCGTACGGTATAATAATATAATGCGCTTTGACCGATAGACCTACAAAGTTTGTAAGCTTTACCTTCGTCAAATGGATCACATTGCACGAATATACGTGCACGTACAGCATATAGGTTAGTTTAGTTTACGTTTACGGTTGATTCAATGCTCGTTTATTTCTCGGATGGAATAAGGCTTACCTTTTGATTGTTTATTTTTTATTATTTATCCTTGATGGTTTAATAATTACAATTATTAAACCATCAAGGATATTTTAAAATGAAAAATAATTATAAGCATTTTAACTATTTTTAAATTACCTATTTTACCACTCCAATTCAAATTTAAAAGAATTATTTTAATTTATAAACCATCAAGATGATATAATCCAAAAATGTTCAAGAATTGTCAACTGATATTAATAACTAAAAACAATATCACTAATGACATGATTAATATTATATGAAACTAATAACTATTACTAATATTAATATAATATTAACAATCATTATATTAGCGTTTATATTTATTAAGTAAAATTATTTTATGATAAGAAATTTATCAGTCAAACTTAACATACAAACAGTTATAGTCTTTCCATTTAGTTTTTTTATATTAATACATTTTAAGTTATGCATTTAATTAATTGTAAACATAATATTTTTATATAAAATCGATAATAGTTTTAATTTTCTTCTTTTTTTTCTCATTATAGATGTAAACAATTAATACAACTAATTTCAAACTTGTTACAAATGTTTAATATTATAAGTTAAATTATTCGGAAATCGATGTTTTGAAACTTTAAGATCACAACATCGTTGAATGATATAAATGAAATAAACTTTAAATTAATTATTCAGGTTATGGTTTTGTTTTATTATACATTTTTTTCTAATTTACTTTTTTTTTTATTATTACATTAACCTTATATATAGGTAATTTAGATTTAAGTGTAAAAATTAATAAAAGATTTAGTACAGATAGCATATGTGTAATTTATTCAGAATTTTGGTTTTGTATAATCGAGTGCTCAATCATAATGCAAATATTATGTTTTTACAAATAATTATAAACAATTTTTGAAAAAGTTTAAAATTTTCTTAGTTTTTGAATTTTGACATTGGCGATGCTAGAATATTTTACTTGATAGGGTCAATATGAAGCCAACAATTATGATGTCCGCCTTGCAAAAAATGAAATAACATATACTAATAAATTGTGGGGTCATATTATAATATGATATTTCAGCACCTAAATCTCTATTATTCTTAATTATGAATTTTTGTGCTTATCAAAAATGATTATATTATTATGTTTAAGGTCGAACCAGTGTCTAGTGATTTTACCCGTCTCTGGCACCAACACTTAATTTTTATAAGAATTTATACATATATTGTCATGGTCGGACGACAATGTATATTTAGTTTTACCATTATTTTAATAAAAGGTCGCTGAAAAATGCGGTTTAATTAATTGTGTAACATACGCACAAAGTTTGAGAAATGCTAATTTATAATACAGGAAAGTTACAACTCAAATGATAATTTATATTGTTTATCCCTGATAAAATATGAATTATTGTAGTTAATATATATTAATTACTTAAAGTGCTTAAAATGTTTTAAATCAAAGATCAATGCATTCATAAACAACTTGCATTTATGTAACGTACAAATCATTATATAATTTCTTTGTTTTCTCTATACGATAAAAGTATGATAATATTATTTGATAATGACAAAGAACATGTTTTTAATGATATCAGTACCTTTGGGGTAATAGGTCCACATCCAATTTAGAAGACGGATCGTCTTCAAACAATACCTGTAAAAATAATAAACAATATCAATACATTTTAAATTATTAGTGATATTAGATAATGGTAATATTTTCAGAAATAAAATATTACAATAAAAATTGAACTTAAACAATATGGTCAATATTACACAAGAATATATAATTAACAATTCTTTCCCTTATAAATACAGTGATTATTTTTATCCGTATCGTTTAATATAATCACAAAGCATTTAATAAGTTTTCCATCTTTAAAATCTTTGTTATTTATAAAAATATTTATTTTAGATAGTATTCATATTTTTCAATATATTATTTTACCTACTTCCCACGCGTTAGAGTAACAATACATTTTTGGTTTTCCATTGATAACCAATAACAATAATATTGATTAAAACTTATTTTTTTCAATATATTTTTTTACGTTTTAAATTATTTAAACATTGATCAACGGTATGATATTTGATGATAAAATTAGTAGTCCATTTTGTTTATTTTTTTTCAAATAGTTTTTTATAACACAGATCATTTTAAAATTATAACATTTTATTAACAAATTTCGCACACATTTTTCAGTTATAGAAACTCATAAAGAGCATTTTTTTTTTTCAAATATTAAATGTGTAGGAGTTTAAAAATGTTATTTTTTTCTGTTAAAAAAATGGCATGAATATACTACTACTATTATTAACGTTTTTTCCCTAAAGCCTACATTTGTTCTCTCTAATCGGAATACGAACAATGTGTTTATAATTCATTATTTATACGATCGTTCAATATTGAAATATTCTAATTCGCATTTATATTTTACATTCCGAGATTAATGCAAGACATGTTTAACTATTTCTCGGGTATTTCAAACATGCATAACTGTAGTAGCCTAAACTAAGTTCAAGGAAAACTCTGGACGACTCGCTTGTGCTTACCCATCTAGACGTATCGTACTGCTGTCTGGGCAGAGGTTCTCCTGACAAGTCGATCAACTTGGCTTCTTTGACTTCTTGAGCTACGTCATCTGCTAGAAAGAAAGAAAAAAAACACCCATCGTAGTATTAATAGTACGTGCAATACGCGCGTTATTGTGTGGTTAACTGCGATGGTGCAACGTGCCCTTTAGAATGGTTTTTGATTAAATGTGCATCATCGGACGTGAGTAAAAAGTGAAATTTATACATTTTATACACAATGGACGACTCGAGACAACGCTTTTGTACGTTGCATGTTATGTAGGCTTTCGCTTTTCGATCCATCTCTCGTCCGTACAAAATCACCGCAACGTAATAATAATATTGTATTGTGCCACCGAAATTGTGACTTATATTATAGTCTCACATCATAATTCATTGGTCACTTGTACGCCGCGATTATATGTACGAACATAATATGATATTGAGTACATAATATGCAGATCTAAAGTATTCACAATGTGTCTCACAATACGGCTATTCGGTTTTACCCAAATACGATAGAATTTAAATCGTTCTAATATTTTTTTCGCACGCATAGATGTGTTTATTTTCAATCAAAAAACATTCGACTATGTAAATGTAATTAATCTTTTACCCGTGCATCTACGATTACATAATCGTATTCAAATGCAGCCTGTTGATGAGCAAGACACGAGCGGCTATGCACGTCATAACGCATAAAGCATTGCGATTGTACATTATGTCCGAACAATAAACGTATCATGTTATTCATGTTATTTTTTGTTATCACTAAAAACAATATAACAAGTATGCTAGACTGTTTTTTGTGGTAATCGGTTTAAAAACAATATGGGTAACTATACGAAATGGAGATGATAATAATTATTATTTGAAATTCGATTGATCAAAATACCAATTTGGATAACGTTTCGTAGTTCTGCTGTTCGAACAACGAATGAAAACCCAAGCAAATTAGATCGTACGTATAGTAAACCATTTGAAACTACAATAACAGGTGACTGCCGCAGCAGATGTGGCTATCAAGTGAATACTTCTTGTTTGTTGGACACAAAATTCACTGTGAACAGTGCAACAAAGCGTTTGGCGGGACCAATGTTAATACTTATTAGTTACCGCTAACTAGGCTACACCGACATTACGTACGTCTAATTATTATATGTATATACCGTGATATACGTGCTGTATTACATTGTTGCGTCGTAAATATACGGAAAATAATGAATTCATCTTTTGAATTTTTCTCTCTCCGAAAAACCGTTTATCCCTGCTGGACATTCGCAATAACATTTCATATTAATCGAGTCGTGTGACATCATATATAATATACAATACATGAATATAGAGTAATTAACTTTTAATAATAACGTGTCTTACTCAATACCTATGAAACGTTCGCCCGACCGCTTCCTAATGACATGGAAAAAAAATTACAAAATTATACACACATGTGTACATACCCACGTATAAAAGTTCAACGTCCAAGGAAAATACATCCAGCATTGCAGTAAGGGTGAGTACACCGATTTTATTAAACATTAATGAACATCTTGAATGGTGCCGTGCACCTCGGTTCTTATAACTTAAAAACAATAGTTAATTTAATAATTGCTTTGAATAGTTATTTATTTTACTGCGCTTTTACTATAGTATGTAACGTTGTTATTAAAATATTTTTCGATTACAGTGTCAAGGTTTTAATAGTCTTGAAGTACCTATGCGTTTAATTGACTAATCATTCAAACACTTGCATTATGTAAAAAAAAACCTCATCCATAGTAATAATATTGCGGATAGTGAAAAAAGTGTACGCTAAAAAATTTAAATCGACCTCAATTTAGTGGTCACGTAACTTTTGTTGATACTTTTCTCATTAAAAATACGCACACGATGAAGCATACTTGATAATTTATTCAACGTATACAAGAGTATAAATAAACAAAATACTGATCCACATAAACTTTGTATTAATCATTTTCCAACGAATTACGTTGTATTCAAATCATAGGTAATTCTAATCACCTCGGGCTTAATGAAATCGAGTCAATAAACGAAAATCAAAACATATTAACAACTTTCACTGTTTGTCAAAACTATACATTCTGCAAATTATCTTCTTGTGTACATTATTTTCGTTCCCATTTTTAAACTGTTTCATAATGGTAACGAATGATGATTATAAAATATATTTTAAAATTATGATTGTAAAATGAATCGTTTAATTCAACATCTGATCGGAAAATAAATCATCGGCGTGCTGCACAATACAAGGCATATTCGATTAACGATTGAAAATATTTACTTCCGCATTTAACATTGTACCTACTTTGTAATCAATAAGTTTTAAAAAGCAAAAAAAAATGGAACAAATAAATATGATTAAAAGTGATTATAACTCATAACATTACAAAATCATAACCTATAGATCTCAGCAAGCGTGACATTTTCTCACTATAGTCTCTGTTATTACAGACGAGCGAACATCGTTTTACCATCGTAGTATTGAAAATATTTACCTCGCACGGTGTTCGGAATTATTTCCGGAGTTTTCAATTCGATGTCCGATTTCTGTTTGTTGTACTCCTTCCAGACGTCCGGCACGGAGCTGATTAGTTGACTGATGGTGATGGACATGTTTTGTGCCTACGGTTGACGACGGATCGGGGAGGGGATGGGATGAAAAATAAGAGAAAAATTTAATGAAAAAAAAAAAAAAAACAGGCGATCAGGCCACTCGCGCAGGGTCGCGCTAGGCGGTGTCACAAATTCGACCTTACCATTTTCCGTTTGGCGCACATAAAAGCGTGACATTCCGACATTGATTGGCCGCTGGCTATGACGAAGGCGAACACGTTGCTGTGAGTCGAATCGGTGAAACAATGGGACACCCTGTACGGCCGAAAAAAAAACACAAAAATCAACGTTGCGCTTGCGATAGGTGTATAGGGTGGGGTGGGGAGGTGGACGAGAAAAGCGTGCGTTTTCCGTTACTACGTCCAATCGAGGTTTATTTTTTTTTCCTTTCTCTCTCCTTCGTTTTTCGCGGCAATTCTTTTAATTGTGCCCGCGATCACCGTGAAGCGCTAACACGGTTTGACCGGATTTTCGTTCGGTTCGCTGTACGATACGAGACGCCGTGAAAAAAAAAAAAAATATTGAATTCGCAACGATCGACACCGATAACCGATTAACAATGTGCAATGTGTACACGGGGGTCTTCAACCTGTTTTCCGAAGGACCGACGACGAGCGTTTTGCGTAAAATGACGCACGACATGATTTACACGCACATGATTTGCCTAAGTGGTCTAACGTGTACGGCAGCGATCGCATCGTTTGTTTCGACCGTGCACGACAACGACGAACAACGGCACGATGACGCGTGAACATGTTCGGGAAAAGCGCGTTGAAAAAATAAGACCAACGATGATTTTATCGGGTACAATTCGCAACGAGTCGCTGCTCCGATCGTCGTCTCATTCGTACACCGAACGCGGTTCAAATGCGCATTTCTTTTACGCGATCTCGTACACGTGCGCCTATCAATTTGAACACCTAAACCGGACCAAATTTTTCTTTTGACGTTTTCTTTACTATTTCTACTGTTAAAAAATATAAGATACAAAAACGGTTTGTATTTAACATTGGGTTCCGTGTATTTCTTGATTAATATCACCTTTCTATCGGTGTGTCCAGCACGGTCTTCTTGTCGTCATTGGTTTCCGTTATTCTGATGCCTTGCCCGTTTAACGTAACCGTCACGTTCTGCGATTTTCTTTTGCTGGCTTTGGCCTGGTGTAAGAAATAATAATAATTACGAAAACAATTAAAACACACGTTTTGTTAATCACGAACAATTAAGTTTTGAAATCAAATAAATGCTAACGAGCACGTTATCTGTATCGTTCGAAATACAAATAATCACTTGTGTGGTACAATGTAAGATTTACAAATTTTACGCACACCTCAGTACCGAAATTACTTCATTAGTAACATTTTAACCAACAGTTAAATTATGTACATAGTGAAGAGAAATTTTTTTATTTCCAACGATTTTAATTGTTATATATTATTTCCATACTTTCGTAAGCTAGTATAATAATTTTTTTTCACATAACTTATTTCGCTCGTATCGATTTGTTTTTATAAAAATATTACATTGCATTCATTTGAAATTAATTCTGCACTTACAGACTCAAAATATTTTTCTCGGTTCATTTAATGAGTATATTTTATTTATATTAAAAAATGTTATCAAAAACAAAACCTCGGAAGCGAGGAACATTACATTTCTTATATATGAAATAATAATATATCATAATACCTTAATATAATTTTTTATCATTTACATAAAAAATTATTAACTACACCAAAATTAACTAATTTTTAATTATTACTTACCTGATATTTTTAATGTAGTTTAAAGTTTTATCATAACAACCATTAATCCTACTCAGTGGCGTAGCTAGGATTTTCTGAAGGGGGGTGTTAATTGTAATTATTAAATATTATATGTAATACGTACAAACTTAAACTTTTATTTTAATTAATTAATATGTATACATAATGTCTGTAATAGAGATGTAATGTATATTCGAATTCGGACAGCTTTACCATAAATTATTCGAATATTTGACTATTCGAATATCAGTATTCGATGCTACAATACCTATTATTATTAAACGTTTTGTGTTGTACGAAAACGTCAACGAATAATTTTCGTCACATATTGTCGCAATCGCGATAATGTTAACCTGTATATATGTAATTAGTATTGTGCATTATTTTATATTTCATATTGTAATATCGATTTACCTATATTCCTATAATAATGTAATGCAGTGGTTCCCAACCCCATGGGCCGCGGCCCACAAGTGAGCCGCGAGCAAATGGTACTGGGCCGTGAACCATATTTTATTAACATTACTTACATATATTTTTAAAATATTAAATATCAGCAAGTGAAGAAGATTCATTGATTGAACTCTAATGTGATAAGACTCTAAACTCGTTTTTTAAAACTACACCATTATTACCATTATACTTAAATATTCGGCGAGACTTTCCAGCAATTTCTAAAATTTTACTTAGAAATTTGGTGGGCTATATTTCGACAACCTGTGTGTCTTTGTGAACGAGCTTTTTCTACTTTTTAAAAAATAAATGTAGGAATAAATTTAATTTTGAGTGATTTAAGGCCAAAACTTTTCATTTTTAATCCAAATATTGATTCTCTCATTGGGAACAATCCAAAATTACATTAAATTGTTTAACTCTTGAATAATCTACTTCAATGAAGTTCTATTTTTTGATAAACAATTGTTTTTTAATAAATAAATTGTAATAACTGACGTATGTGCATATTATACATATATAACTATTGGTGGGCCTCAAATATTTTCTACGAAATTGGTGGTCCGCACTACTAAAAAGGTTTGTAACCGCTGATATAATATATCATACGACTCAAGGGGGGTGTCATATCTACCAAACACCCCCCTTGTATAAGCCACTGATCCTACTTACAATTCGCGGTTCAATATTACAATTTTTTTAACATATATTGATTAAATTTCTTTAATTACTATACAAAAAGTTTTAAAATTAATTTCAAGTATAATTGTGGCATACATTAAGAAATAAACTGTAACAAATATTTATTTTTCCACTCTGGAGAAAAATTGATATCATTATGTTGATTCGAAATACGAGCACAGTGTCAACATTGATATTCGTTATTAACCATTTAACATATTATTATTAATTAAGCATCTCACTTGATATATCCACATTCGGATCAATATACTAGCATTAAATGTTCTTCTTTATAAACTATGGTATGTTTTTTTGTATATAATAAAAAAAAACCTAATAAAAAGTCAGATTTTTCATGTATTAAATATTACTTATCACTATAAAGATATATAGTTTACGGATATGACAACTCTCGTCTTCTATGGTTAAAATACAATTGGTGTCATGACTAATTCCACGAGTAATAATATTATTTTCCTCCAAAAAAACATATAGTATAAAATAGTACGGTTAACGATAAACTTTTAAATCGAGACAGTCTATTTAATATGACATCAGTAATATATGATAGTATTTCTAGGTTTTATTATGCACATGTAAACGGCTGTTTTTTAAATTAAACAGAAATAAGCCATACCATTAAATAAATCCTTACTTTTAATTCCTTATTCTAAGAATAACACAATAAAAACCACATGGGATTTCCATATTATTGTAACATTTCAAGGATTATTATTTTCCTCTGTTCTGAGAAGTATTCGTGTAATAAGTTCTGTCTCAGTCAGAGTTGGGCATTAGTCGAATAAAATATTATTCCAATGATTATTTGAATAAAAAATTATTCTTCATTGATTTATTCTTAATTTTATTATTGATTTTTATTTTTTTTCATTATTTTAATTTGTATTATTATTCGTTATTCGTTATTCCCTATAATCATATAAATAATAAATTTAAATCCAAAATAACGATGTATAGTGATAATATACTTATTATTTAAACTTAAATAATATATATATATAGGTAATACATATTAATATATATAATAATTGACAAAAATAAATTAATTATACTTTTATATTTAATATCATTATTTATTTAATATCATTCATGATTTTAACGAATAAATTTATTCTGAATAATTGTTTTATTAACGAATAAAACTATTCAGAATAATTTTATTCTTTATTCATAAATAAATTAGTTATTCAGGCTTTTATTTTTTATTCATTATTTTGATTTGTTTTTGCCCAATTCTGGTCTCAGTAAGAATAATATATTTTATGATAAAGACAACCATTTACACTTTCTTGCATTCCGCTTCAATGCCGAGGTTGAAAAACTATAGGTCCTACAATCAGGGTTGCCACCAGGGAAGGGGTTCAATGAGACCATTTTGTTTCAGGCTTCAGTCTATGAAAATTTAAATGGGACTTCTTAAAGTCCAGATTGAATAGAAATAATTTAAATAATTGTATAAATATTTTATGAAATGTTAATGCATTTAATTAAATAAAATTTACTTAAATTTATACTTAAGCGCTATTATACAGGCTACATTTTCAGTTATTCTAATTTCTAAATAGTTATAACTGTAATTTATTAAGGTTAATGCCGAAATGTGAAGAATGAAATAATTTTATTCAAATTTATGTAGAAAGCTGTTATCGCAAGTATAGGCACTACAACATCCAAGTTCTTATTTTACATGACTGTTTATAAATTATCTAGGTATAAACTATATTTTAATTGAATGTGGTTACTGGTAATACATTGTTGTGAAGTTATGTAAAATGTAATTTATTGTTTCGATGCATTTAAATGACCTTGATTGGGTGAGGTTTGTAAAACTATATTTTACAAAATTTTGTAAACTTGGTATTTTTTATCATATTCATATATTATTGAGATGATTAAGGAGTTCCCGAATTAATTGGGCCCAGGCTCTAAAAATTCTTAGGATAACTCTGCCCATAATTATTGACTATTATCCCTCTACGGCAACTCAAATTTGTTCTAATATTGACGGATGTACGGTAATTACAAACGCTAAATTTGCTGAATGAAATAAATTTTATTTGAAATGTGATGAAGAAGATAGGGTGTCAAAAAATCTCATATGAATTCTCTTCAGGATGGTCCTGCGTACAGTATCTTAAATAATCCAAAAACTAATCTAACAAACTGCATTATACAATACGCTCATTTGTTTTATGCCGACGTGCGAACTGTGCTATGAAATTTCTAAACCGTGGACTTTTACGCCACTATGGAGCTATGCCCAAGCGAACAGCAATTTATTTTCGTTTGTATATGATGTATATATATATATAATATTATAACCATTATCTACGGTAATTTTACTTGCTGCTCGAACAATCGCAAGCAGTGGAATAATCGGGCGTTTTGATGTCCATAATAATCAATTATTACGATCTACGACGTTTTCAAGCAGAGCTGAATAAAATGTGATCATAATAATATAATACCCGATGGAAAGGGTATACTCAAGTACCTACATTAATGTACGGGCTGCGTAATTACGCGGAGAAACAAGAGATCGAAAGTCTCGTTTCGCTCCGTTTGGAGCAATAATGTCGACAAGAACGAAATAACATCCTGGTAGTATCGGCGTGCGATGTGCAACGATAGTATCGTCCGCGTAAGACACTCGTTTTATGAATACGTTCATTCCATACACTGTATACGTATGCCAAATATGTTTAATTATGAATAAGACGATGGGTAACGATGGGCAATAACGAATTAAAATGTTTTATTTGAACTCTTCGACTTAAGCAGTTACTTTTAAGTTTTAGTTTATTAAACTACTTGCCTAACTTGGTTATTTTGTGATAAACGTGAAATCAACAATTTCATTTATCTTCACAAGAAGTTAAGTTAATTCAATTTTGTTTTCAGTTTTATTTTATTACATTTCAATCTATTTATTTTTCATGTCAACAAATATTTCGGTTATTATTTATCATGCATTGTTTGCAGTTAAAAATAACGTATTATAAATAATAACATTAAAAATTTTTTTGGAGATAAAGTTACCTAACCTTAACTTCTTTTGTATTAGAAATATTAAATAGAAATTATGTACAAACAGTATAGTTCCACTTTTAGAGTAACTAATTTAATCAACAATTTAGTAAACTCTTTACTCAAACTTTTCCTTATTAAAGTAAACTATCATAACTTAATTTGCCCGGAATTGATAGGACCTATCACACTACAATACAGACAATATTTTCCGTTTTGGATTAAAAACACGGACCGTTGTCATTGTCGACGTTTTACCACATCCCGTATGACTAAATAAGACTTCTAATCTGACTTGAGAAATAATATTTTAATGCGTATGCGAGTTTTTGAGAGCCATTGGTTACGTTAAAATTAAACTGACATCGATTCGAAATGGTAACACTACCATTTAAATGCAATTTACAGTGATAATATACCTTGAACGCGGGTGTTCTAAATTTTTTTTTTTTTGCATACGCGCGTACGAGTTATTTAAGCCTAACACGTTTTGATTCGCGTTCTCATTAAACATCACACCGAGCGTAACGAGATAACAGCAGAAACGAATAATAACAATAATAATAATAATAGCTACGATAATTATACTAATAAGGTAAATGTGCAATATGAAAATTTTGAATAATCCACTACAGCTCTTTTTTTTTAAAGTTCAACGATGAAAGTTTACTTATCAATAAGTACATGCACATATATAACACCGTAAAAGTGTTTAAACCCTCTAAATACTAACTTCACAAATACAGTTTAATAAACTTCTAATTAATTTGCGTTTTAATTTTACAAATACGATACCTAAAACAATTGGTATAGGTTCGTTATTTTATGTTAAAAAATACTATAGTAATTACGAGTGGAATATTTATTATATTCCAAAAGAAGTTGAGTACTTTATATAAAAATTAAAATATTATTATTAGGTATATAAATAACTATATAATAATTAATAACTATAACCATAATTCTTTAAAATGCATGTTTAGTTATATTAACTTTTTTACTAATTTTACTTAAAGTTTAAGGTTTCCAATGACTAATATGAAAAAACGTTCATAATTTTATAAATACTCTGTTCAAGTTTTGTATTTTTTAAGACACATATTCGTCGCATAGTATGAGTTTCTTTCAACTAATATCAGTTGTGAATACTGCATTTTTAATTTATATTAAACCTTTAAAGTTTTAAAATATTTAATTTAAATTAATGTTGGTATCTACTATTGTTTGATTATTATTTTCAAATTAAATAAATGTATTTAATTGTTTATAAAAATAATACTTTACCAAAATTTTTAAATGATTAAATGAAAATCTTTGAACATTTTTCAATTTACTTTTACTGCTTTAAATTTATATATCATACATCAAATGTACGGTACAAGAAGTGGACATCAGCACTATTGGTTATATATACATATATATTGTAAGTACGATTTGTATATCTTATGAGGATAATTGGATTTTATGGACTTCCATTTGAGAGTAAATTAGAGTAAACTATGTTATTCCACTATTATCTATTACTGTAAATTTTTTTTTTTTTTAATTTGCCTTTGTTAAAAGGCAAATTTTGACAAATTTACTGTAAATTAATAACTTAATTATTTCTGCGTACACCCGTAAGTAGCAAATGGTAAAAACAAAATAGCTACACACAGGTTGAATCACAATTCGCAGATGGTAGTATGATTTCTCTAGATTAATTTCATAATAATTAACAAGTTACTGCATATGAATGTAATATGATATTTTTCAGTAATAGACTTGTTCTTAAACTGTATAAAAAATAACTATCAACATTAAATAAAAACACAACTGATATAAAGCGTGTAAGTTATTGTCGTTAACTGATATTATTTTTTTCCTACAATAACATGATATAAAATGAAAATACTTATGTTAATTCAGCATTTTGCTTCCTTTTTTTTTAAACCCAGTTATCTAATACAAATATATATATTAATTTACATGTAACATCAATAAAATGAATAATATTGCTAAACTAAAGAAATAGAATGTTACACCATGGTAAAATTGAACGTTGAACATAAATTTACAATAAAAATTGAAATTTAAAAAATGTATGCTAGTAAAAATATATTACTAAAACTCTGTGCATTCGGTTCATCTTGTTTTGCTAAGCTCAACACAAAATAATAAGATACATTATGATTTAAAATTGTATAATATGACCATTTTGTTATACCATTAAAAAAATTGTTATAAGTGTAACTTTATTTACTGCAAAAGAATCGATGATTTTCAACATCGAATGTATTTTGTACTTATTATTCAAAATGTTTTTTAGTAGATGTACACCATTTGCTCATTAAAATAATTTGACGCAAACCATAAAAATATGACTGTTTATAATTAAATCTATATTTGTATTCATAAAATATTTCGTCAATTATAAATAAACAACCTTCGGCTTGTAAATTTTTTCAAAAAAAAAAAAGAAAAAAAGGTAAAAAATGCACATTTCATTATACTTGCATTTCAGCTGACTTAGCTCAAATTTCAATTATTTATCCAAGCACAAAATGAAATCTTATGATTCGTTTGATAATTTAATTTTAATAAAAAGAACCTAATCGAAAATTACCTAGGATATAGTAAACAATGTTACGTAATTAAACCAGCGGTTCCTGAACTGTGCTCAACTGAGACCTTAACGCTCTACAATTGTTTCTAAAGGGCTCCGTTCGTTTTATCATAGAAAATTTAAAAACGTAACAACTATAAATCGTTATTTAAAACAAAGACCATATATATTTTTACAAAATTCCGTCAACTCAAATATAATTCATCGATACGTATACAAGCAATATTAAAATCCCGATAGGAAAATATAATTTTTTAATTTTAGACATTACGCATTCCCATTCTAGTTATTTCCCGCCAGATACGTATATTATATATAAATATAATATTAAATTTAAATTATCAAGTTTTGAGTTTCCTCCAATTTAAATATATATCATGTGTAATATGCTCTGTAGAATACAGACATATAAAAGTTAATATTAAATATTTCTTGGGCCTCCGTGAGGAAGTACTGTTTAATAAAACACTCCGTGGCTGGAAGTTTGGGAATCACTGAATTTTATTATATTTTATATCAGTGAATATATACATAGAGGCACCTATCTTAACATGTAGATAAAAAAGAAAATAAGCGGATCGACCGATTCATTGCCACTAGATGAGAACATAGATTATTGGTTTAACCGCGCAGATATAGAAAACGTATTTGCTTTTTGTTCGAAATTGATACGTGGTTAATTTAAGTATTGCACCACGCCACATTTTCACACGTATTTGCTACGTATTTGCTCAACTGTTCGAAGCCGATCGAGTGGAATAAATTGAATAAACAAACGTTAAATGCGTCCTCGTACGATCATGCATAACGTGTTTAGGCAAAATTTTAACTTTCGTCAACAAAAATATTTCACTTAATAATGTTATTTTCTACAATGATAATATGGACGCAATGTTTTCTAACACTTGTTCGGAACCCACGGCACGGCACGAAGCCGGAAGAGTGAAGCTCACGAACAAGATGTTCACGTGGGTAAGATTTGTGAGAAAATCCGTTCTAAAACACCCTAACATAAAATAGGGCCGCGTTATATGGTAGGAACGTATGGTGTCCAGTTGTTTAACCAACAATTGAATAACGTCAAATAATATTTTTAATTCAAGAAAACTAGGCATCCAATTAATTAAATAGTTAGACATCTAGTTTTCTTAAGTTTAAAATAATTAATTAATTATTAAATTAAATAATTAACTAATTAACTAAATACATTTTCAATCAACTAATTAAATCGGTGCATACTACTTGCGTCCGAGATTATTATCAGTAGGTAATTTGCGTCTCAACACAAATAAGTCATAAACATAGCATAAAATAAGTACTAAAATAATTAATTACATTTAAAGCTTTTCAAAGTATTCAGTTTTATAAATACGGCTCGGAAATTGTTTAGCGACAACCGAATATTGTCATGGCACGTAATTAATTATATCACACTGATACTCTATAATAGCTGATAATATTAATTTATCAATAGTCGCAGATATTATACCATATACACAATTTCTACATAAATGATTATTATAGAATGATTATTGTAACACAATATTTATGGACACATCTCGGTCATGACTATTATAGCAGATAAGAAGAATATATTATTGGTGGAGTTGCGTCCCCAAGACGGGACGCAAGTTACCTGTTGAATTCACTACCTGAAAAATATACCTTTTTGAGGGACGCAAGTAGTATGCAGCCAATCAAATAGTTACTGTTTTCAATGATAAGCATCACATGATGCTTATGCTACAATAGTATTTAATACAATACGCGTTCAATGTTTATTTTCCTTATATTTTCAGGCCAACTAATATGTTTAAAATTAAATGGGTTTTATATGATTATCTTAATATTAATTTAAAAATAAAACGGACGTACCAATCTTCAGTATTCTGGAATGTAAAAATATATTGATGAAAACCCTTTGAAGAATATGCATACATTAATTTAATAAAAATATTTTCAATCACTGGTCTGTTCACCACAGTGCAAATAATGATAAGAAATAATATGTTTTTTCGAGTTACCATGAGCAAAATGGTTTTGACGGCTTCGGCAACAGCACCGGCTGCCGAGTCCACCGGAGTGTTGCCCAGATACTTCACATCGAACGTAGTCTGGTCGCTTTCGTCCGCGATCGCAGCAACATCGTCCGCGTTCTGTCCAATGGCCAGCGACTTATCTTCGGATAACTCTAGACAAAATCATTGCAACAACAAACGGTTAATTAATGAAATAATTCACCGTCTTCGATTTTATCGTACAATAATCGATAGTTAAAAATTTGAGTAACACGCGATGGACAGATATTACGTAAAAATAAATAAATCGTAAAAACAATATTAAACGCTTATACTTATAATCTGACAATCAGCGTATTTTTTTTAAATTTTTTTATTTTTTTTTTTTATTACAACATAGTAAATGTTATAACGGAGGTCTTCGTATTCATTTTTTCCATCCAATCCTTTTATCAAAACAATTATAGATGTAAAAGACCCATGACGCTAATTTCGTTTATAATTCCACTGCAGTATTGCCTCCAACAGCCTAACATAAAACATTTAGCGTGATCTCACCGAGTAATGACTGTTAAACGAGTTCGAAACGTTTATTTCTTCTGACCGCTACCGTATGCCGATCTATGTCGATGAACTCATTAAAGTCCCGATAACAGTAGAATTCATTTCCATAGCAAGACTAAAATCGTGTCAATAATTCGTGATGACTTCATATATACGACGTAATTTAATGAAATCTGATCTTATATTTAGAATAATAAAGACTGAAAAAATTTTATACAAAATAGCGACGTTAAATGATAACTCTAATCATAAATAATTAGCTAGATAGCCGACACAACACTAACACAAAAACACAAACAGTACTCGTTTCAATATAATATTAAAATATTATAAATAATCAAACGTTTTAGTATATTCAGTTATGTAATCGGTTATCAGCGATAATCGGAACATAATAAATGCTATGGTAAGTATTATTATAATATCTTTTTTATAGTAGAGGCTGTGCTTTTATCTCTGACTCGATGAACAGATTTTTCAAATTACCCACGAAAGCTAATATCTTTATGATAGAAATCATTGCCATTAAAGAAGCAATCATCTACGCTGAATCCACCTTCACAAATAAAATCCTAGCTATAAACGACTCACTCGGTTCTCTAACTTCTTTATTATCAAAATATGCAACAAATAAAATTTCTCAACAAATACTCAGTACTATGGCCAACTCAAAAAATACCAGCTATTATATGTGGGTCCCATCGCATATTGGTACTATCAGTAACAAAGAGCCGACCTACTAGCAAATCAGGCAATATCATCCCCCGAATCGACTGACATAAAGGCACTGCCATATAACATATAGATATCAAGAATAATCGATATTACCTCAATCCAAAAATGGTACTCTCAATGGAATATCATAACTAATAATAAATTAAAAAAAAAAAAAAAAAACCAGTTCAAAAATGACGATACCCCACCAATACAACCCGTAAAGTACACTATTACCACAAGAATCATAATATATCATACACATCTCACTCACTCTCATATTTTCTATAATATACATATAGTACCTATAATATAATATATAATTATAAGAATAACTTTATAATGAAATAGGAATTTTAAATTTTATTATTACGTATTACGTGAATTATTTAGTCTGATATAAATATTTTTAACATTTTTAGATTAACACTTTACGCGATATATTTTATATTTTATTTATAAAATAAAAATGTTCAACACGTAATTTTTTTTGTTCGATATAAATTATTATGCATTAATCGTTTTATAAACTACTTTTTTCTGATATCTTCTCATATTTGTAACACTAAACAGAAAAATAAGATTAGACAAATAATTAAAAACACAAGGAAAATTATCTCATTAAACCGGATGGTAATACGAAAAACCACAATTTTGATAGTGTTACGCGATGAAAAACAAAATTTAAATAAAATATTCACGATTCATGTGGTTAATGTTCACCACATTGATGTATAAATTGGAACATTCATTCTATTACCTACGTTTGTATTTTATGTTAATTTACGAAAGCCATTGTGCAGTTATTAATCATGGTTAATCATATGCGACTTATCAAATAACGTACGATAGTACACCACAAAAGTTTATGGAAACATTTTATTTTTCATATTCTAATGATAAACATAAGTGCATAAAATAAATATGATAAAAATATTCTAGAACTCTTAATATCTTCATATATAACGAATATAATTATATTGGTACGAATGATGTACCTGCGTGTCTTAATAGTCAATATTAGAGGTAGGTATACCGATTCCTCTCGAAAACGCGCAGTAGACATTATCATGCGAATTATGTGTTCTACGGATACGAATCCTTAGAACGAACATTACGAAATGGATTTACATGAATATACTCGTTTCCTATCAATGAGTTGTAAGAGGAAACTGTGCACGTTATTACATATCATTATCGAACAGTGAGCGTAACCCGTAGGAAAATATTACAAAATAAATTACGTCTCAAAATCCTTTCCGCTGAAATACATCTTGAACTATAATTATACGACACATTTTCATGCAACAATATTTAATCATAAATCATATACTAGCGGTTTATTGAGTTCAATCTAAAATATCCAAGATTTATTTTTAAACGAATCACGAACAGTTAACTTACACGGGGAAAAATTTTATTTTATTTTATTTTAATTAAATTTTTTAATTTAATTTAATTTAATTTAATTTTTCCTATATAACATGATGAAAACTGACTGTTATTCTAAGGTTTTCGAAATCAATCTCATGGTGACGTGATCAATGCTTTGTTTCACTGTCATTGTTTTAAAATTATTTTCTGGAAAACATCTTAATCGAACTGACTTCTAAGAACTAAACGTACTGCTTTTAAATATTAATATTATAACGATGAATTTTCCTGACTCGAGATAAATGTTAATAGTAATCAGTGATTGTCATTACAAATAAATTGCGAATTAACATCAAATACTGAAATACAAGATAACATATTTTTTTCGTATACACTTGTGACTCATCGAACCAAACTAATGATTATTTTGAAATTTAGTGATAAATGGAAAAAGGACAACTTTAAGCCACATTGGTAACAATAATTCATGGGTGTATTTAAAAATTAAAAATTACATATTTTTCTTAAATGGTTAAACTATAAACCTGCAATCATCGCACCGACAAAGTCTAATAGATTAATAAAAATACAACGCATAGCTTATTTTATAAGTATTACACTTTTTTTCTGAGTACTCGTATAAAGAATTTCAATCCCAAACAAAAGATTAACTCATCATATAATTGTATAGATATTATCATATATACACAGTGTACACATATATACATACCTAATTTATAAAGAATTAATAAATATAATATGCTTTTTTATGTTTGAGTAAGAAAAAGTGCATGAAGATGTGTGATTCATTAATAAACGAAGATCTATGATTATTTGTATCAACATTATATAAGGATTTATTTTAAGCAATGAAAATTAAACCTATAATTACGGCGATCTATAGTCATCACCAGTAAGTGGAAGGTTTTTAAGTATTCTAACGTATCTAAGGACCAAGAATATATTATACATTCAAAAACATGTCAATCATATTGAAAGCTTTGAAGATTCGAATGCTGTTATGTAGTATACATTATACTGACGATAAAATCATTAATACAATCGGTTAAACAGTGAAAAATTAAATAAACAGACATCATATAATACAATAGTATCTTAGTGTTTTCAATCCTATATAATTCCACAACCTACGGAGAAATTATATCAATTGCGTTCCTCGAAATATTTTCTAATTAATTAATTTTACTCAATTGGAAAAAAATGGATATTCGCTATTTTTACGGAATCTAAACTCCCAAATGTTACGATTATTTTACCCGAAAATCCAAAATCTTTTTTTCCGAACGCCTTTTTCCCGATGGTTATTGTTCCCGAAATAAAAAATATTAAAAGTTTAAATTAAAAATGTTGTTATTATGAGGAATTTTTTCTGTATATTTACAGAAATTCTGTTTATTTACAGTAATATTGTATACTTTTGGAAAAAATACCATTCTAGAATTTCGATTAAGGAGAAAAGATTTTGGGTTTTTGGATTTTCATGTAAAATACCATTCGGGAAAAATTTCATTCGGGAATTTTGATTCAAGAAAAATACCGGTAACCAAAAAAAAAAAGTCTTTAACATAAAATTAATAAAAACGAATTTAATAATTAATATTTATAAAAAAAAACATTTTCAATAATAGATTCGATGTTTTGGTATTTATATCTATATTACTCGTATGGATATATATATATATATTGATTTTCACTAGTTTTAAAAAATACACATCTATATTATAATATTATTACCTAAAAACCACATACAGGTATATGAATATTTTATTACTATTATTTTAATACTTTATAATATAACTATGATATTACAATAAAATATTTAGTATTTTATTCAACATTTTAATTACAATTACAAGGTCTTAAGTAATATTTGTTTGCTGCTACTATAAAATATATTTCCGAAAATATAATTTTTGATCAAAAGTACATAATCATAATGAACTCCGTCATTTCCCAGTTAATATTTAAAAAAACAAAACAATTTTGCTTATATAAGTATAAATAACCTTAAACCAAATTATTCATAAATACTGGTTTAATAGAAAATATATATATTCTGTAAACATTTTAATCTTAAGTTAATCAAAAATATAACTCATGCTGCATTTTAACTGTAGTGCGTATTGTGGTCAAATTGCTCGTTCGTTTAAAAAAAAATTGTATAATATATGCGGCATTAATATAATAATATACTGTGAAATTACTATATAATATGTATTATAATGCAATGAAACAAATCTATCATTATTTACATATCAAAACTATACGTTGTACGTACTCTTAAGTCCTGAATTAGTTAACTTAAATTAATGCTAATGTTCGATAGCAATATAAAAAGCAAAAAAATATTTCACGCATGCGTACTCTCACGTTTGAAAAAAATGGTTTTTTTGGAAACCACGAACCTAGAAATCCGTGCGTAATTATTTACGTAAATACATATATTTTGGTATTTTTTTGTATTTATTATTAATTTATAATATTTTATAACAATAATTAA